GTGCTGCTCCTACAGGTTAAGTTGGAAAAAATATTGAAAATGTTTAAGTTTCTGATTAAGGTGCTTAATATATAATCTTCCCTTACCCCCTAATGTTTTTATATACTTGATTGTTCTTTGCATGATTTATTAGCATTGATGTTAAAGTTTTAATTTTTAACAATTTAATGGAATTGTTTTTGTCACTGAAAATGCAGTTAGAACTTGACAGTTCTTGCAAAATTGAAGGCATATCAATTTCCTTGAGTTGTATATGCTTGGAAATACTATCAGGCTATTTACAGTTTCTGTCAGTAAATTCTTCAACAATTATGGGGTCCATTGTGACTGAAAAATGTCAAAATTACAGGAGAGGACAGGATCACAAAAGTCAGAAGCATTCATTTTTTTTCATTCTTTATTTACTTTTTGTTTAATAACAGGCAAACACCCCAAATACAGAATAATACATATAGAATTTTTAAATTTAGAAGTCGATATGAAAATAACATACATAAGTAGAAATAATATCATGGATTAGAAATTGTTTGTAGTAGGAATTGTTCAAAATACATGCAAATCAATATAGCTTTTACATCCCGACATGAAAAGAATTGTATGTCAAACTGATTATCTAAAAACAAATCATCGCAGTATTCTTACACATTCGCCAAAGGGGGGCATAATAAACTAATGTTCTTCTCACTTCGTAAGGCCACCAAATATCGAATGATCTATGTCCTGTAGTAATAGAGGAACTTTCCAGGTAATTGTAGTAATATTTTACAATCTATCAGGTTTATTTTGATAATTTATACAAGAAAATTATATTGGTTGATTCCTATGTGATTCCAAGGTCCTAATATTCATGACAGATGCAATGGAGTCAATAGGTCATGAGGTTAGTCTAGGTTTCATTTTATTTATATGGTTAATGCAAAATGGTGCCCAGACAACGGAATTGCATATAATAAAGTGGTTAACCCAACCTACTTATTATATGTTAGGGTATAGTTATCCGAAAAAGTGTGGCGTTTTTATTAAAATCACAGTTGACTCTTCTAATAAAACCCAACATTTGATTAGATCTTAGCTACATATATAATCAATATGAAAAACTTAAATTCATTCTTGGTGAATCAAAGTATACACCAAGGATCTCTGAAGGTTTCAAGTGCATCCAGTTTTCAACATTATAACAAAAACTAGTTAATATTGGATTCCTCGATCTAGAATAGTCTGACGTTTATATTTTCGAATATGAAGTGTATTTTTTTCTCATACACCTAGGAAATAGGGCATTTAATCATCCTTGAAGTTTTACAGTTGTCATTTGTTGTTTTTACAACTTGAGTATATTTGTAAGATCATCAGAAAATAAGAGGAAATTACACATATCAAGTTTCAGTTTATTATCGTTTATAAACATTATATTTTTTATACTAGCTTTTTTTTTTTTTTTTTTTTTTATCACAAAAAACTTGATCCTTTTTAAAAATGTGAAATGTCGGTTTAGTCTTTGTTTTTCAGTCGTCATTACCAAGTAATGGTTGTGTTTAAAAATAGTCTTGAAATCCTTTCCCGGAAAATTAAAATTTCATTGATGGAAACTTCAATTAGTCGGGAACATGGGATTTTAATGATCAGCAGTTCTGCTGTGCGGATGCTTCAGCATGTTGATGTCGAGGACTGTGCTGTTCAGTGCCTCTCGAAGTGCATGCTGCCTGCCACGATGCAACAACGGAACACCACTCCCGGGTGGTACGCATTTTGGCGGGGTACTGAGAATGTGGGTGAGGTGCACTGACCTTTAATGGCTGATGTGGGAGTGCCACTCACAGCAGTCACAGGTGATACTTTTACTAATAATTTTTTTACTATCTCTTTCCTGTTTCCTCTCCATCTCCCCCCTCTCTCCCTCTGCACATATTTTACTATGAAGTATTGGAAAATGTTTTGCAATGGTGCAGAAAAAAATGTTTATTTTTTTGACCACCCAAAACTCATTTTGTGTGTCCCAGATATTCATAAGACTTCAGTGACATTGCTTCCAATTTGACTTTGCTTGCTCTGGTAGCTACTGGGTAAATGCTTATGTTGCTAAAAACTGATGAAATTTTTCATCAAAAGGAAGCATATAAATCCAGGTCTGAAAAGTGCAATATTTCTTGCATACTAAATTGCAATCCACACATTTCTTTTTTCTTTTTCTCTTGTTTTATATTTAAAATAAAAATTCAAAGAGATACAAAACAACTGTCCCCTGCCTTATCTCCCATTTGCGCTACAGTTAATTGCGAGTTTATTTATTTTCTTTCTCTTTACTTTACACTTGCCCAAATGCCAAATAAGAGGAACCTCACAGTCGTAGAAAATTTATGTTTGTGAATCTGAGGAAACTCTCCCAATGGGAACCTCAAGTATAAAAATATTATTCAGTGCTGAACCTTTCAGGGGGGGAACAATGAATACCTGCTCTATAACATAAAAACACACATGTCATATGCTGGAAAAATTATGAAACGAACTTCAACTTCTTCTTTGATTCATCTTGAAATTCTTTCCTGCATTTACCTTTCACTCCTACAATAATAAACTCAGCATCACATGTGTTATGCATTTATTTGCGTTACATTTTGGTAAGCTCATTAATTATTGCAAACACTAATTTGATTTTTGTGTTATACATAACTTACACACATTAACATTACATTATTTTGCACTCCTTCGTAGCTTGGATTTCTGCAACCTAGAATCTAGCCTCTGGTTCTTTTTTTTTTTTTTTTCCTTCCCTCTACTGCTCATTTCACTTCTGCTTTCCAGAATGCTCTCCAAATGGCTGCACAGGACAATCAGACGAAGTGCGATGCAGTTGATTATGTCCTCCCCACCGTCTCACTTGGATAGTCGATACAGTGGAATACCCCACCGCTAGTCTTCGCAAGCCCTGACGTCTCATTCGAGCCGTTAAGGCGTTTGCCCAGCGAACACATAAGACGGTTTAGGGCTGTCAACCACTGATTAGTGAAGGGTATGCACCAGGTTTTTATGCAAATTAAGTTACAGTGGAATCTTGTTAGTACAATTTTCAAGAGTTTTCAAAATTTTGATCATATTACCAGAAAACATGTCTGAAAATGCCTAAATTTGCCCCCTTTTCAGATATTCTAGCAATGTGTTGGTTTATGTGAGTAAGTTCCCATTCACTTCTTCATAAATAACCCCAGTTTTTTTGTTTTGTATATATTGTCAGTTTGTTTGTTTTTTGTGCATATGTGAGTTTTGAAAATGCTGAGGTTCAGTTTAATGCATGGCTGCTGAAATATCACAAAAATCTATGTCTTTTCCTCCATCTTTCTCGTATTTTAATTGCTTCATACATTTCTCTCCCAATCTCTTAAATCTACAAAAACATTTTTGGGAAACCTTGTGGTTTGATTACTTGGAACATTACTGTCAGAGAATGTCGTCACAGCATCGAACATTCATATCTTCATATTAACATGCAATATTTCTCTTTAAAGAGAGAAGGCACCATTCAAATCCACAGACTTTTCATTTTTATCTCGCAATAAAGTGTTAATTACCTCAAATGTGATACCACCCTTTATTGATAATACTTCACTTATGTAGCATCACGGCTTGGCAGCAGCCGAGTGCAAGTTAGAGGGCTGGGGGATCTTAAAATAGGACAAAGAAGGGACCTTTCGACAGGAAAATGGTCCGGGGCCAGGGCAGGCCAGGGGAAACTTTCCACCCGCAGGGGTGGGGATAGTGACGTAGGAGGTCAGGTGACCTGGACCTATAAAGACGCCTTGGTGAGACGGCGCGAGTGGGTAACGTTTCGGTTTCCTCGTGGCTCTGACCACAAAACTTTGTCCGCCATGGCTGGTGCGGAGTGCCGAGGGGACCCGTGTTGTTCGACCGAGTTCGGACAGGGTGATGTGTTCTCTCAAACACATCCGGGCAGATCGTCATCTGCCGGGGCACACCAGTGCCAATCTACGACGCCGGCCTTGCCGGCTGGTCTAGGCTCGGGCAAGGCGCATGTAGGAGAGGAGGGCTGCAGTGGGTTGCTCTGGCAAACCTGCCTTAGTGAGGGTTTGTAAATATGTAAGTGTGTAAATAAAACTTGTATATACTCACTCGTGTCTGTTTCCTTGTGGTGTAGATCCCTACACACGACGTTACACTTATCATAAGATTATGGGGAAACAGTATTAAATGCAGTTCACTTTAATGAATGAAATTAATGTTTATTGCGGAACATTACGACAAACATTTAAAAATATACAAAACACAGAAAGAAAACTTTTCCTACAACTGCAAGGTTTCTCCAAAAAGTAATGAGACTGAGTCTTCAACAGAATTTTTTCATCCCGATTTTTTACAACTCAACTTCTCAAAATAGTTTCCCTTTGGCATCGATGCACCGCTGCAGCACGATTTATGTGATTCGCATGCTCCCCTGGAAGTCAGCATCCAAAATACTTCATAAAGAGGTGGATACTGCTTCTGGGTGGCAGCAGTGTCATCAAAGCAACCTTTCAGGGCAGTTTTCACTTGGGGGAACAGAGAAAAGTCTTCTGGGCTTACATCAGGACTAAACGGAGGCCTGGGGGCAAAAGTTACAACTCTATCCAGGCCAGTTACAGCGTCACATGGAAAAGCAGTGTGGCTCGGAGGCACTGGTCGTGGTGGTGCTACTATCAGACGGCAATCTCTTGTCGTCTCTTCATGTTTCAGTGAATTCTCAGTCTACAAATTGTTGTT